CGTTCTCTTACAGGGTGGTTTCGGGTTGAGGCCGCGAAATATCTGAGCGTTTATGACGCTAGGTGCTGTGGTGGTGCTGTGCACTTTTCGGAATCCATGCTGTTGACTGGCTAGGCTCACGTGGTGAGTGAAAGTCGGGGGTAGCAAGGTCTCAAGTGTCTTCACTACTGGGGAGAGGAGAGTTATCGGGCGATAAGATTCGCCTTTGCTGGCGGGTTTCCCAGGTTTCAGTAGTGAGACCACTCTTCCGATTTTCCACACATCGGGTATTTGAAKAATGTTCAATGACAGGTTGAGGACCTTGGTGAGATAAACTACTCCCGCCGAGCCTAGATGCTTTAGCATCAGCATGTTGACTCCATGAGGGTCAATTGATTTGGACGATTTTGCTCTATTGATGACACTCTGAACCTCTTCATCGGTGAAAGTAAGTTGTTTGGAATTTTGTGCAGCCGTAAACTGCCGGCTAAAATAGCTCGCGCACTTCTTCGGGTCCGAGGAGGCATGTCCATTGAATTGAACTTCAACTCGGCCGTTATGTCTCTTCGGATTAGACAAAGCTTTGACAGTAGCCCAAAGCTTACTCACACCGGTGGGGAGGTTACAGGACTTCAGGTGCTCTRTCCATTTCGTCCGCTTATGATGGTTTACCATACGCCGAATCTCCAAATTGAGATTCCTTATTCGGGGATCCCCGGGATCAGCATGGCGAAAGGTGTCGCGCTCGTTAGCTAAGACGGCTGCTTCGGCTAGGAAATTGGGGTGGATTTCCGCTATTATCCCAGCCGGCATGAAGCGAGTGGTAGACGCTGCGATCACCTTGCGGAATTGACGTTCGCCAACGCATACGTCCGTATGAGTAGGTAGAGCGTTGAAGGTGCTCTTGGTAAATTCTGGGAAGCCGACCCAATTAGCTTTGTTAAAGTTAATGAAGGCACGGTTATCCACAAAAACGAAATCAGGAGGCTTCTCGATCGAGATAATTATGGACAGATGGTCTGATGCGAGAGTTAGCATGGGTTGCCAGGCTATGCTATTTATCAGATCACTACTAGCGATGATAATATCAGGCGAGCTATTACAGGTGTACATAATTCTGGTGGGGGGAATCTTCAATCTGTTTCGCCAGCTCCATTCCCCTACGATAATTTGACAGGCATGAATGCCAAAGATAGTAGTGCGCGTTTAAGTCGCCTAGTACCCAACTGTTTTCACCACGAAGTAGGGTAACATGCAACTAGGGGGATGTATCTATTAAATATTTCGAGTTCGACATCGCCTGACCGGATAGCTATACCCTGACATTCTAGGGTAGTATCCCTGCGGTTGATGTCTTTATCGATTAGACGATACTGCACGGTGTTGTGCAATATGAAGGCTAGGCCACCACCATTATCTCGCTCGCCATCTTTACAAAAAACGTTGAAACCGGCACAACTCGGAAGATCTGAGTGGCTGTTTAGCTTGGTTTCTTGGACCGCAGTTATCACTGCACGTTCCCGATTCAATAAGTGCAACTATCTCCTCGATCGTACTCTGGAGTCCTTTGCAGTTAAATTGAAGAATTCGAGTTTGTCGGGGGTGATCCTGGGGGTGAGGGAGTGACGTGTAGATGGTGTTTGTTGCAGCTGCAGCACCCGCAGGGGCGGTTGTCGTGCTGGGGCGTTGGTTAGCGATTGCACAGCGGTAGAGACTTGTGTCGCAGTATTGCGCAGGCAACATGGGGCCACGTAACGCGTGGCCTACTCCCTATGAGTCTTAAGCCCTGAGCARGTCTTAAGATGGCTCCATCCATTGCATGTATTGCACCTGGTTGGACTCAATGTCAGCACAAGTTAGGAGGATACGGAGCAACCCTGCTGCAAGACGTTGCGCCAGTGACGACAAATACTCACCTATCCAAACGGGGTTAAATCGCTGAAAAAACAGGTTGGATAAAATCCGAGTCAATTCCGGTACGTAGAACTAGCTGTCGTGGGAATTGAGGACGGTACCGGCGGTGGCGCGTAATTAAACGGTTTTTTATTAAAGACAATTATAATAATTGTGAAGACTTTTCCAATTTAATATTTGAGTATATTTGGAGGAAAAATATTTCAAATAACCATGTGGCAACACTGGGCTAAACAACAAGTGCTAAATTTTGTGCTGATCATTTGTTAGTTGGTTTTTTTTTATAAATATCTAAATTTAATTACTTAACGATTTGTTAAATTAGATGAAAGTAATCGAAAAATAATGAATTCATCGATAGCTAATATAACACACTAAGGAAGGACAGGGATACTGCGACAGACGGCGATACCGTTCCAACGACAGTCGGGTCTACGAAAACCGGAACGGACCCGGATTTTTATCCGGCCAAGGACTGTCAACTCGGCAGAATTCTGCCGTTACAACAACAACAACAGAAGGCGAGAGAGAAGGTGGTGTCCTGATTGCTCTTAAACGAACAATTAAAGCTGAGCTTATATCCATTGGGAACAATAACCTAGCGCAATTCTTCATAAGGATAAAAGGTGATAATGCTCGTATCATTGGGTGCGTATAAAATTTCCGGATTCAAGGATGATGATAGTGGAAGACTACACTTTGCGCAGCAGTACACCGCGCTTTGATTGAGAGAATCTGCTGTACGATACCACTGCTCTGATTGAGTGTCAACAATTCAATCGCACCTTAAATAAAAATAATAAGCTGTTGGATTTATGTTTCAGTAATTTGGATGTCTCAATCAACGAAACTCTTGCTGTCACGACTGTGGATAAATACCACCCGCCTCTGGAGATCTCCTTGGATTTTCAGCTTAGCCTAATACCAAATTATCCGCCCTCTTATTCGTTTAAGAAAGCCTAACTGGATTGAGCTATACAAAATAGAAGAAGGGAATGATAAGGTYCTTTGGCTTTATAATAAAGTACATTCTTAGATTGTCCCTGTATATTCGAGGAAACCAAGTAAATTTCTTTGCTGGTTCTCTAAAGAACTTATAAATAAAATTAAATTGAAGAAATCTGCGCATATCAGATATAGGAGAAATAAAACTAAGTCAAATTATAGATGTTTTAGTCAGCTGCGACTCGAATGCAAGAAATTAAGTGCAATATGTCACACATTAATAAAGTGGAAAATCTAGTATCTTCTGACAAAAATGAATTATGTAGGTTTGTCAAGAAAAAAAGGGGTACCGACATGGGAATCCCAGCTACCATGACATGAAATGACCTAACCGCTCATTCTTACTTCAAAGACATCTATACAAAGAGCCCCAGCGGAGCTGGTCATCATCAATCTGCTGATATTGTAATGAATGTGGAGGTAAATGAATTCGATGCTAACTTCAATGAAAAAAAATGAATCCAAAAAAAGGATTTGGACCTGATGGTCTGCCTAATATATTTCTACGCAACTGTGCTGCCGGGCTCTGTGAACCTATCACACATTTACACAAGTCTTTTCATCACGGAACCTTTCCATCGGCGTGGAAATCGTCGTTCATCAGTCCCATCCACAAAAACGGCCCAAGATCTGACGTCACCAATTATAGACCTGTATGTATCCAATCTGCATTAGCAAAACTGTTTGAGAAAATTGTCCTGCCTTAGTTGATATCATCATTCAGAAATATCATTTCTCCTAAGCAACACGGATTTGTTGGTGGCAGATCCACTACAACGAACTTATATACTTACGTCAACTACATCTCCAAGGCCATGGACAGTGGTATTCCAATTCATTCAATATATACGGACTTTAGCAAGGCATTCGACAAACTTTGTTGCTTTTTAAACTTTGTTTAGGCATTTTATAAGTAGAAATTTCATTGAACTTAAAATGTAAACAATGAACAGCTGTTTGTGTAAAAATAAGCATATAACCATCAATACGGGATGTTCACGGTTATTTTTAATCTAATAACCACATAACCCGATAACCACCTTACCGTGAACAGCCTAATAGAAGTTATTTTTAATCTACAAATCACATAACCCGATAACCACCTTACAGTGAACAGCCTACCTATATTGTATGGTTATTTGCTTATTTTTACACAAACAGCTGTTCCTTGTTTACGGTTTAAGTTCAATGAAATTCCTACATATAAAATGCCTAAACAAAGTTTAAAAAGCAACATAATTGAATTTAAAGTAGGTTCTGCTATTCAGCAAATGGACTTTATTGAAGGTATGTGCTTATTAAATAATCCGAATTTTAAGGGTTCAAAAAACTCTTTGTCTAAAATTTGCAGACATCTTGCGCCCTGAACAGTGTCACAATGCAATTGTAAGCAAAAAAAAACAGCTGTTAATAACAGAATTTCCAATAAGAAAATCTAAATGGGAATGCCATTCGCATAGTTTTATTTATTTTTTGTGCTGCCATTTAGTAAAATTCCAACGAATTTCCAACACTGCAAATAAACAAACAACCACATAATCTGTAAACGAGGGCCTAGGTTGGTCGAAGTTGGTTATTTTGTCATACCGCAATTTGTTGTTGTTTACTTAATCACATAACCCGATAACCACCTGACCGTGAACAGCATAAGTATTTCGTTTCTAAACAAAGCAATTCTATTCGGAAAACTAATGTGTTATATATTTCCTGTAATTGGGGTATTATTTGTTTTCTTTTGTAAAATATGAACGTAAGGTAGCACTGAATATTAGTTAGAATGCAACCCTTTTGTTATTTTACGAACAAAAGTTGAATGTTGAATAAAAGTTATTTTTGCACTATTTAATATAAAATAAATGTTTAGAAACGATTTAATGAAGTATTAGTGGATATAAAAGTTTAATAACATAACCAGAAAATTTATTATAAATGGGAAAAACACACATTTTAAATAGATGAATTTTTGAACTTTAAATGCAAATAGCTCAAAAACCATAAATCAGCGGCAACTACATTCATATATATTATTGATCTGGAGGACCTCTCTCTTCGTATATATCCATTTTAATCCCGAAATCCAGGGACACTATTCTAAAATTTACCCAAAGTATCTCGTAAAATAATGAGTGCTGAACGGTACCAATTTGTTTATAAATTTGTATGCTGCACCGTAGGATATTAATCTACGCTGTAAATTCATGAATCCACAAAATTTTCGACTACACCACTAATAAAATATTATTGCGTTCAGTTGTTTTACAAAACATATTCACTTTGTTCTCTATTATTGATTTTTAGTTTAGTTAGTATTTTTTAAATCTTTAAGAATTCCGTTTAAAATATATTAAATCACTTTTTAAACAATTTAAGTTACTTCTGAATTGGTACAAAGTTAGCATATGATTTATTTAATAAAATAGTTGAACCGAAATTGTAATATATACCACACATTTCACATCGAATATACTTTCATAAACGCTCATATGTATATTTATTACTCACATAATGTATCTCGATACGCAGTTAAAGTCTCTGTTTAAACGCAGCAACATTTATACAAGTATCAATCAACATATCGTTGCTAATTTTAAATATATTATTTAAATTGGTATATAAAATTTATGCCGCAATTATTATATAGTAGTCCAAAAATATGTCTTATTTATCCCAGAAATTCATTTGAAAAAAAAGGATCTTTATTCTAAATACAGATTTGGCAATGGCAATAGCAATAGATTTGACATTTAATAGGTCATATCGACAGATTGATATTTATGTCATACTAACTGCATTCCTAAGCCTTTTGCCAGTAGAGACTCCATATTGCTAATGGAAGCAATATAGGGAATACTAATTAGAATGTAGGAGTTTGACAGCTCAGTTTACATTTCTATTAAAATTTTGAAGACGTCAAGCAAAAAATCCACGTTTCTTGATCTGTAGTCAACAAATTTTGACAACAGATTAAGCATTGCGATAAATGCATATTAGAAGAGCAAGAGAGCAAACAAAGATGTATGTGAGTGTGTAGTAGCATAAATATTTTCATTGAGATTTAAGGAATGTTGATGATTGATAAGTTTTATGCAAAATTTCATTATGAACTACATATACATACATATATACTTCATAATAATAATTTTAAGGTGAATATAAGGATTATTTTAAATTTCCTTCATGAAATAATTGTTGATTTCATGTCTCCCAGCAAAAACAACGTTGCCATATTCGCATTTTGTTGAAAAAAGTTAATAAAAATTAGTACTAGAKTTCAGAGCTGCATACTAGCTAGCTGGAAACTAACCTTCAAGGCTTCAAGATATACGTTTACTCTGCTCGAATCTCTACCCGACGCTTTTTAATAATAAGAAAAGGATAAATATCCTTTTGGTTACAAACGTATTTCTGGGAAAAATAAGATAATAACAAAGGAAAATGATCCTTTTTTACAAGTGTATTTCTGGGAAAAATAAGAATTCATATTTTCGGACTACTATATAATAATTGCACATATAATAAGTTTATTAAATTTAAGGCTTTGCGCATTCCCAACCGAATTTGCATAATTTTTCTGTTAATTAACAATATTAAATTAAATATTGTTAATTAACAATATTAAACTAAATATAAATTTTTGGGAAAAATCTTATTTTAGAAATGGTACTTTATTTTCTTAATACTCGCGCTACTAAATTTCATAATACCGAAACGAAAATGCCGTCGACATACAGTGGCTCCATCGCATAATCGGACAAGACTTTTTCTAATATAAATGTCCTCCAAACATAAAGATAAAAAATCAGAATGTRTTGTTTTTTGCTTTTATTTACACTTAATATTATCGTCTGCTTAGATGATAAAGAAAAGGTAACTTTTTTAAATATAAGCTGTCAATTTAAATAAAAAAACTAAAACAATTCAATTYTTTATGCTCAACGAATAATCGGACAAAAAACATAGAGCCACTTAATGTATGAAAAAAAGGAGTCAATACTTAGTTGCATAACCCTTGTTACCCAGAACAGCCTGTAATCGCTCTGGAACAGATTCTACCAAGTTTTGACAAACCTCCGGCTCTATGGAATACCAAGCCTGTAATAAGGCCTCCTTTAGCTCACCTAAGGTGTTAAACTTTTTCTGATACACTCTTCTASTTAATTCCTCCCACAAATGCTCGATTACATTAAGGTCAGGGCTCTGCGGTGGTGTTTGTATYAGTTTAGGGCAGTTGTGTATCAACCAAAGCTTTGVARCGCCCGATGTGTGYTTGGGATCGTTGTCTTGATAAAAAGCAAAWTTGTYCGCGATACMMAACTTCTCTGCACTTTGCTTAACATTTTCTTTCAAAATATTGAGATAGCCAAATTTGTCCATTTTACCATCAATAAAATGCAAATTGCCTACTCCAGCACTTGACATGCATCCCCAAACCATGACAGAGCCCCCTCCGTGCTTCACAGTGGCTTTTGTATTTTTATGAGCAAATTCGGCATTTGGTTTACGATCCACAAACATTTTGCCATCTGATCCATGCAAATTAAATTTGCTTTCATCAGTGAATAAATCCTGAAAACAGGGAAAGCTATCAAACTAAATGTATTTTGGGAAGAAATAATGTGAAACTACCTGATTCCAAAAGACTTTTGATTTTAGTAAATACTCCTTAGCATATTTCAGCCTTTTGTTTTTATTTTGATGGCTAATGAAAGGTTTTTTCTTGCAACTCTACCACGGAAATCGAATTTGTGTAACGTATTACGAATAGTATTTAGACAGACATCTTTTCCACAACGATTTTTTAAAGAAACTTTAAGTTCTTTTGCCGTGTTGAAATGATCTTTTGCGACTTCCTTTACTATAGAACGCTCTTCTCGCACAGATAATATCTTGCCTTGACCTTCTCTGTTTCTATTAGCCAATCTGAACTCATGATGAAACCTCTTGATTACATCACGGACCGTGGATTTGCTTCTTCCTACCAATTCAGCGATTTCTCGGACGGTTTTACCTTCACCATTCAATTTCACTATTAGTTGTGTAAACATTAAGTTAATTATAAGTTATCTGAACCACCCATTGTATAATAGAAATGAATTGTATGGATATGAAGTACCCGGTGACCTGTCAAAAAAGAGCCGGTAACCATTTTGTAAACCATCTGACATTATTCACTTCCTGTTTAGCAAGCGAGAAGAACAAAACGTGTAACTATTATAAGTTAAATAAATATTTATTATGAACTATTATATCTCAGGTGTGGGGTTGTATCCACAGCCATCCAAAGAAAGAAAATAAGAAAATGAGATGAAGTAAGGGCAACAAAGCCGCAGTAACAAATATTACTGCCCGAATCGGTGCTCCCGACGCTACCGCTGCCCTAACTGCTGCCACCACTGCTACTCAAACTGGTGCTCCCGAAGCCACCGCCGCCATAAACGCTGTCACCATCGCTGCCATAACCGCTGTCACCACCGCTGCTCAAACTAGCGCTCCCGACGCCACCATTGCTGTAACTGCTGCCACCACCGCTGAAAAAACGACCGCTGCTCGCATTGATGATTCCGGGGCCATCGCCGCCAAAACTGCTGTCGCTACCGCCGAAACGAATACCACCAGGCCCGATATTTGTCCTGCTCCTGCGTCAGCCGCAGCAG